CCCTAGGCATTAATGAACTGAAATGGACTGGTATTGGCCATTTTGATTCAGACAAATGTATGATCTACTACGCTAGGAATGACAAATTGAAGAGGAATGGTGTTGCATTCATCATTAAATGAAGAACTCAGGATCTATCCTGAAGTACAATGCTGTCAGTGACAGGATAATATCCATTCGCCTACAAGGAAAACCAGTTAATATGACTAATATTAAAACTTATGTACCAAATACTAAGGCCAAAGATGAAGAAATTGAAGATTTTTATCAACTTCTAAATGATGAAATTGAGCAAACATGTAACCAAGAGGTACTGATAATTACTGGTGATTGGAATGAGAAAAGCTGGAAACAAGGAAGAATCATCAGTAGTTGGAAAATATGAGGAACATACAGGAATCAGACTGAGTACATCTGTGTAAAGAGGTGATGGAGAAACTCAATCTCTTCAGCCAAAACAAGGCCAGGAGCTGACTGTGGAACAGACCATCATACTCATATGCAGGTTTAAGTTGAACCTAAAGAAAATTAAAATAAGTCCACGAGAGCCAAAATACAACCTTGATTATATATCACTTGAATTTAGAGAACACCTGAAGAACAGATTTGATGCACTGAACACCAGAGAACAAAGGAAGAATATCATACATGAAGAAAGAAAAGGAAAGAAAAGGAAGAAAAGGCCAAAATGGATGTCAGAGGAGACTCTGAAACTTGCTATTGAACACTGACTAGCTAAAGCAAATGGAAGAGATGGTTGAAAAAAAAAAAAAAAAAAACTGAACAAAAGACTTCAAAGGGTGGCTTGAGAAGACAACTCACTACTCACTGCCATCGAGTAGGCCCCAACTCACAGCAACCCCTCCTTGGGTTTCCAAGGCAGTATATTTCTACAGAAGTGGATTGCCCAACCTTCCTTCTGAGGAGTGGCTGGTGGGTTTGAACCTCCAGCCTTCTGGTTAGCAGTCACTTCTGGTTAGTGCTGTAGGTACTACACTACCAGAGTTCCCTGAGAAAACAAAGTAAAGTATTATAATGAAATGTGCAAAAGACCTGGAGTTAGAAGACCAAAAGGGAAGAACAAATGTGGCATTCCTCAAGCTGAAAGAATTGAAGAAAAAGTCAAGCTTTGAAATGCAATGTTGAAGAAGTCTATGGGCAAAATACTGAACGATATAGGAAGCATCAAAAGAAGATGGAAGGAATACAGAAAGTCACTGTAACAAAAAGAACTGGCAAAAAACAAGGCTTCAGGAATTGACAAAATACCTACTGAAATGTTTCAACAAACGGATGTAGAGCTGGAGGCACTTACTCGTTTATCCAAGAAATTTGGGACAGCTTACCTGGCCAACTGACTGGAAGAAATCAATACTTGTGCCAATTCCAGAGAAAGGTGATCCAACAGAATGTGGAAATTATTGAAAAATATCATTAATATCATTCATATGCAAGTAAAATCTTGCTGAAGACAATTCAAAAACAGTTACAGCAATATGTTGACAGAGAACTGCCAGAAATGCAAGCTGGATTTAGAAGAGGACATGGAATGAAAAACATCATTGCTGATGTCAGAAAGATCTTAGCTGAAAGCAAAGAATACCACAAAGATGTTTACCTGTGTTTTATGGATTATCCAAAGGCATTTGGCTGTGTGAATCATAACAAATTATGGATAACATTGCAAAGAATGGGAATTCCGGAACACTTACTGTGCTCACGAGGAACCTGTACATAGACCCAGAGTCTGCTGAAGAGAACAAGGGGATACGGCATGGTTTAAAGTCAGGAAAGGTGTATGTCAGGATTGTATCCTTTCACCATACTTATTCACTCTGTATGCTGAGCAAATAATTTGAGAAGCTGGACTATGCAAAGAAGAACATGGCATCAGGCTTGGAGGAAGACTCATTAACAATCTACAACATGCAGATGACACAACCTTGCTTGCTATATATAGTGTTTGTTATGGATTACACTTCAATATAAAGAAAATGAAAATCCTCAGAACTGGACCAATAAGCAATGGCATGATAAACAGAGAAAAGATTAAAGTTGTCAGGGATTTCATTTTAGTTGAATCCACAGTCAACACCCATGGAAGTAGCAGTCAGGAAATCAGATATCACATTCCACTGAGAAAATCTGCTGCAAAAGACCTCTTTAAATGTTAAAAAGCAAAGTGCTGACTAAAACTCAGGTGTGCCAGGCAGTGTTTTATTCTGTTGTATGTAGGGTTGCTATGGGTCAGAGCCAACTCGACGGCACCTAAAAACAAAGACTATCAAATACAACCCAAAATGCACAAACAGCAGAAGAGAAACTAGATGACTGGGACCTTCTAAAAATTAAATTCTTATGTGCATCAAAAGGCGTCTCTAAAAGATTAAAAAGAAAATCTACAGAACGGAAAAATATATTTGGCAATGGTATATCTGACAAGGGATTTCTCTATAAACTTTACAGAAAACTTCAACACCTCAACATCAAAGGACAAACAATCCACTTCAAAGGGCAAAGGACATGAACAAAAACTTCACCAAAGAAGATACTCAGGCAGCCAACAAAAATGAAGAAATGCTTGCATTAGCCTTGTTGCTGTTGTCAGCTGCCGTCAAGTCAGCTCTGACTCATAACGACCTTGTGTACAACAGAATGAAACACTGCCTGGTCTTGTGCCAGCCTCACAATCCTTGCTATACCTGAGCCCATCATTGCAGCTACTGTGTCAATCTACCTTGTTGAGGGTCTTCCCCTTTTTTTGTTGACCCTCCCCCTTTACCAAGCACAATATCCTTCTCCAGGGAATGGTCCCTTTTGAAAACATAACCAATGTAGGTGAGACGAAATCTGGCCATTCTCACTTCCAAGGAGCATTCTGGCTGCACTATGTCCAGGACAGATTTGTTTGTTCTTCTGGCAGGTATGAGCCATTTAAAAAAAAAAAAAACAAAACTGCCATTGAGTTGGATCCAACTCATAGCAACCCCTACTTGGGTTTCTGGGGCAGTATTATTATGGAAGCAGATTGCCCAATCTTCCTTCTGAAGAGGGGTGGGTAGGTTTGAACCACCAGCCTTTTGGTTACCAATCAAATGGCTTAGGCACTATGCTACTAAACCTCGTAAGCCATTAGAGAGATGCAAATCAAGTAACAATGAGATATCGTCTCACTCTGGCAACAACAACAGCAAAGTTCAACAAGGCATAAAACAAATGCTGGCGAGGTTATGGAGAGATTAGAACTCTCACAGACTGCTTGGTGGGACTATAAAATGACAGAACCACTGTGGAAAACAGTACAGCACATCCTTAAAAAGTTGGAAATAGAAATATCATTTGATCCAGTGATTCTATTACTAGGTATGTGCCCCAAAGGGTGAGATCTGGGACATGAATAGATATATGCACACCCATGTTCATTGCAGCACTATTCATAATAGCAAAGAGACGGAAACAACCTAAGTGCCTATCAACAGATGAACGTACAACCAAACTATGGTACATACACCCAAGGGAATACTACGCAACACTAAAGAATAATGAAGAATCACTGAATCATCTCATAATGTGGATGAACTTGGAGGTCATTATCCTGAGTGAAATAAGACAATCACAGAAGGACAAATATTGTACAAGTCCATTAAAAGTCAAGGGAAAGTTTACACAGGGAAGGAAATTTTCTTTTTTGGTACAAGGGATGGGAGGGGAGGGGAGAGGAAGGAAGAGAAAACAGATGGCTAATTAAGAGACTGGTTTGATATGGGTGAAGGGAAAAGCAATATAACAAAAGCATGTGACTAGCACAATATCACTGAGGAAAAGGAAGATATGGAGAGGGGCAAAAATGGTACAGATAATAAAGGCAAATACTGCTGCATACAGAATACTGCATTATCAGTAATAGCAAACACTGATCTATGGGAGGATATACAGGGAGACAGGTATAGGTAAGCAAACAGGAACATACCCACAACCATACACAGGTTTGTCGGATGATATTCCTACATATGTACAAAAAAGAAAAGAAAAGAAGAAAAATCTCTTTAGGTGACCACTTACTGCTTATGTACCATGATGCTTAAACTCCTTAACCTGGCATCTAAGAATCTCTGAAATCTGGCTCCTTCCCAGTTTATTTTCCCTCCCTTCTTTCACACAACCTAAAATCTGAGACAAACTGAACTATCCCATTTTTCCATTTGAGTTCCTGCACTGCTCTCTTCCAAAGGAACCCAAGTGGTGCACTGGTTAAGCACTAAGCTCCTAAACTAAAGGTATGCTTCCATAAAGATTACATGGGATACTCTCGTATATTGTCACTATGAGTCAGAAAAGACTTAATGGTAACATCCCCCCCCCCCAACTACTCTTTGCCTGCTATGGGCAGTTCATATCACATTCTATAGTTGGAATGCTGTCTTTATAATTCAGCTCAAATAATACCTCATCCACAAAACCATCTCTGATGTTTCCTTCCTAAAACTCAAATAAGCATTTCATCTACAGCTGTCTTATAAAATAGTACAATTTCTAGTTTGTATTGTAGCTTTTTCTGTGTGAGTGTATAAGAATAAGCCCCTTTTAAGGCAGACCTTGTTTTAACCATTTGTTTTTTTTAATCCCACTCAAGGCATAACATAGTGTCTTTTTACATAAATGTGTAAAATAAGTGAGCAAATACTTCCAAGGCAAGGGTTAAATAAAAACCACTGCCATCAAGTCAATCTGATTCACAGAGACCCTACAAGACAGAGGAGAACTGCCCACAGGGTTTCCAAGACTGTAAATCTTTCCAGAAGCAGGCTGTCTCATCTTTCTCCCAAGGAACGGCTGGTGGGGTTGGACTGCCAAACTTCTGTTTAGCAGCCGAATGCTTTAACCACTATACCACAAAGCTCCTTAAGGAGATTTAAACCCAACAGCAATGCTTACTATTAGTATTATCATAATTTTCCTTCTTTTTCACTCAAATGTCTTTATTGACATAACATTTGTACCTGAAGATATGTTATTCTCCTCTGGACCAAGTCTGTCAGATCTTTGGCCTCTTTTTCCCGCCAATCACCAGCTCCATCTGTTTGACTGAGGTAGTATAGATCCGTCATTATAGACCTGTAAAAGCAAACAACATTGGGAATCCAACTTATCTGCAGTGCATCACAGGGTTACACAAAGTTGTGAGAAGAGAGGTAAATACTTTTATAAAGACTGATGCTCACACTGATGCTGGTATTCATCTTTTATTTTCTATCAAGGCTGTGAAATTCAACAATTAGGGTCTACCATCCAACATTCATTGTTTTTATTTTTTTTTAATGCATTTTATTGAAATATAATTTATGTACACTGAAATATACAAAACGAAAGTGACATGGGTCAATCAATGTAG